TGTGTTCGCTAGATCTCTGTTGATTTTTAATATTTTTAAGAGATTAAGCGTTTCTTCCACCGATTATTTGCCTCCCTGATAGTAATAAGAAAACTGAAGATGGCGTCACTGGTAACGCATTCAACTTATTTGTTAATAATAAACTAATGAATATATACAGAACGACTAAAACCTTTAACTGCTACGGCTACGTTTACACTACAAATTTTTCCGTTGTCTGCTTTTTGTTTAGCCACAAATAACTGCCACTAATACCGGCTAAAAGTAGGATTGATAAAAATTTCATCATGCTTTACTATGAAGGCTCATTATGAGAGTAGGTCCTGAAGTTTGTGCGCTTAAATCAAACCCTAAAATAAAGTCCACAACAACATTCTGAGTTTGTTTACAACTATTAAGACCAACTATCGTAATGAGCCTTCGTAGTTTCTGTTGGCTGCATAGGACGCTATCTTGTGAGAAAATGGCCGAAATGCTTGGAATTAGCGTTAAAATAAATCGTTTCTGCTTATTTCGAAGTCTATTAAGAAAAATCAGTTGTTCACTTCGAACGTTTGTCAAAATGTAGTGTAGACGTTTCTGAATACTTTTTGTTGCGAAAATATGAATCGCTTTCGCAAGATACCTCGATTTTATGAACACCTAAATTTTTCCCATAATAAATTAACAGGCCTTACGAAATAAGCAAAAAAATGCACGAATACAGTTTCATTGTATAAATAAATATCTCTATAATTACAAAAGATTTTTTAGTAAACCGGCCATTAAAATTAAGAAATGTGTTACTAAATCCAACGGGCAGACTTTCATACAATATACCAGGATTACTCAGTCATTTTTAGAGATAGTTAAATAGTTTTTTCGCCATTGAATTCATCGCACTTTCTACTGGAGAATATAAGAATACTTGATAGTTTACGAAGAAATTCATCAAGAATAAGGAATGAAAGTGCTGATGCTAAATTTCCGTGAATTAAGAACATTCATTCTACTATCTTTGATAGAGTAGTTTGTAAGGTTAAATTGTAGAAGTCATTTTTTTCAACGTTTTCCATTCGAAAAAAGTCTTGCGAATCTTACAGTGAAAGAATTATTTAATTTAGTGAAAAAATGATGTATGAACACTAGATTGAAGAAAAAATTTTATATTATCTTTATCTCCATTACAACGAAAAATTCTTTTACTGTAAGATTCGCAACACTTTTCTAATGTGAATTGTTAAAAATTACTTCCATGGGAAAGAAATGTATCCAAGAAAAAAACCGTTCCTTTTCGTACGTAAGGATGATTGTCATACATAGAGGTGTTCCCCGCGCCGCCGTTGGCAAAAAAAACTTTTGAAATTTCACGCCGCCGTCATACACAGAATTTGTTTTTGAAGTTTTTTGCCGCCGCTCTGAAAGTTTTTTAAAACTGCTTCCAAGAAAAATTATTGAAAATTGTAACTTTTTTTCAAATTTTCACGCCGCCGCCTCCAAAGAAGGAAAATATTTGTTTAGTATTTCGCCGCCGCTGCCGATGAAGTTTTCAATTTAACACGCCGCCAAACACTTGACACATAAAGTAATCGGCTAACACTTATATACACATACACGAAATATGTAAGACAAAACACATGATATCACATATCAATAAGACGAAAGAAAAACTACATTATCCTTTTTCAGTGAACGCACGTGCCAACATAAAACTGGTACAAAAATTTGAATAAGTTGAATGACAACTCCAGAATACACAGTATCACAGTAATTGAAAAAGAGAATTGCAAAGCGTAAATAAAATTGCTGTGCACTTATTTTAAACATAACCTTTAACTGAGCTTGAGATGAATTGCATCGTGATCCCGAAGAGGCAACCGGATAAAACACGGTGAATTTCCCACTTTATCCATCTCAAGAAATGCTACTTAGAGAGCGAATGTTCTTTTCTCTCTAACACTTGTACGTTCTGGTGATATTGGACTTATGAGCCATCTCGTATAAGCAACGACCGACACTGCTCAAACGTTTTCATGGCAATGTTAGTTTTCAGAACAAAATGCAAGAACCGAATGAAACCCTATACTAGCTAAAATAAACCCATTCTTGATTATTTTCATCGAAAAATTCGTTGTTTATGAAAACGTAGCTTCAGGTCTTGACTAGCGAATGATAAAAACCGTAAGTCTCTATGTTTTATTCCTTTTGAGTTATTTAAATTTTTGTGTTGTAAGAAAAATCATGGAAAGGAAGCGGCGCTGTAGAAATTTTCTGCTGAAAAAATACGCCGAAAATGACTGAATGACACATTATTTGATTCAGTTTCTGATGTTAATCACGGATATGGACTTGGTTTTGCTTTAAAATACTTTCTTCAAACCAAAATGCACAATACTGCTCTTAACATTTAATGATTTCTACGTGATACCTACTGTCGGGGGCACTAGGGGCTTCAGTAGTGATGGGTCGTAAGACGTAAAACACATCTTCCTTATGTTATCGTTCTTACGGCATTTCGTGATCTCTGTGAATTACATATATGGCCACGAATACTGTAAAAATAGAAAAGAATGAAAAAGTTTACGGAGGAGAACGGAAAAAAATGATCTCGTAAGAAAACGTCGCCTTACGTCTTACGCCGCTAAAATACGAAATGAATGGCACGCTAGGAGGAGGACAAAGAATGGAAATGATAAGTTTGCATCGCAGAACATAAACGGAGGTGTTTTTTATGATTTAAGCACAAAGATTGCACGAGAATTTTCACGTTTGCTGCTCTAAACTATTCAGCTCTTTTTTTGCGGATTTGGTAGTTCATAGTTTGAACTTGCCATCCTATGATAGAAAACATTATCACTGATATTATCGCCAACGCTTGTCTAAGGAAGGAGAAAAACAGTGCGTTCGTACGTTTTTCGTTTTCTTTCTTTCGTTTCGTTATACAACCTCTCTTGTTTCGCGATATTCGAACCTCTTACGGCCCATTACTAGCTTTCAGTGACCTTAACGTTGCCCACTGCAATTTTTTCATCTATTGATAGATCAAGGTTGCAAGTACTTATGCCCCAAATATTTCCAAAATTGTCTTGTCACAGGAGAAAACCGATTCTGAAAACTGACATTTTCAGCTAACGTCACTACTCTCGATGCAGTTTGTATTTGAGTAAAAGGGAATTGGAAGGTCCAATGCTCAGGCGTTGTAGTATTCGAGGCTCTCTATCTAATGGTGTTTTCAGAATTTTATGAAAATGTTTTATTTCGATACAGTATGGCTCCAAAGTTGACAAAATATGAGTTTAGGACGTACCGGACACAGGTCGCTGTATGAGAACGAAACTATTCCCCGAGGTCGGATTTGCTTTAAACTGAAGAAGAATGTTGGTTCTAATTATGTAAAGGATTTGAGCTCTTGATCTTGTATGCTTGCCGAGATTTGAGCAACACAAAGTTGTCAGTATGAGGTGTCACATTTTTCAAAAGTAGGTCGAAATTTTAAAATGCTTATTTCTCAGCAACCAAGCAATACTTTTTGAAACGGAAAACGCCATTTTACTCAGACATGCCTATATTTTCTTTTACGACTGGTCTGAACGAGTTCTGTGACATACGTTTAAGCGGTGTTCTATGTAACGCAGTCGCCGCTTATGTGAAATGGCGCTTAAGAATGAAAAATATGTCGTGAGAACAATATGATGCAAGAAGTTTCCATAAAAAGTTCACGTTTTATATCACCGTTTTATATACTTAATTTCCCCAGTGCCATCTCTTCCAGCATCATTTTATCAAAAATTTAGTTAAAAAGATCCATCCACTTCATTTTATGCTGATTCAAATTGAAGATAAAATGCTTAACATTGTATTATAAAAACTTCAGCTGAACGTTTTCGAAAAATGATAGACATAGAAATGTATACGAAAAGAAGAAAACAACAAAGCTAGATTATAAAAAACACAAAAGTAATAGTTGAATAACATATCAAGAGGACTAAGAAGAACCGCTTTGCGACTATCGTTCTTAGTATAAGGTGCTACTAAGTCCTCTAACAGATTTTCCATTTCAATAACATGCAACAGTACAACTAGAACGAACACACGCATACAGATGAATAACAAAAAAAATCATAGTTATAGTTCTCATTCAGCTTTGTTACCATGTTCACAGTACATCTAATGCGTTTTTGTATGGCTACTGGCATGAACTTCGGTGTTTGTTGCTGTAGTACCTCCAACTACGACAGCTTCTGCATGATGAGCACTGGCCGATTTAGCTTGTGTTGTTATTACCGTAGTTGTTGTCGAAGCCAATCGACGGCTAGCATCTTACAATAGAAAAACAAAGCAGTGTAAATAACTTTTTATAAATTAGAAATTGTCAGAGAGCTACCAAAGGTTTGTATCTTACATCCTCTATCTGTTCTCATCAATATTATAGAAAAGACTCTAGCGTAGGCTTGTTTAGAAGTCAGTCGTTTCTCTTACCTTCTTGGCCTAAAGCAGCAACTTGATCTGTAATTGATTCAATTTTTGCATTTGTTTGAGCTTGTGCATCTCTCAAAACTCCCATTTTTAATCGATTTGCTTCTTCATTTAAATCATCAATACGTCGTCGTGCATTTTCCAATATTTGTTCTTGACGTAAATTTAGATCTTTTTCTAATGTTGATAAATTCAATGCTTTAGCTCCATCTAATTCTTCGACATAACTAAAAACGAGATGAGAGTTTAGCTTACATTAATGAATCCATCCTTTTCATACATACCTTTGTAATTTTAATTTATATTCTTGTTCAATTTCAGCTGATCGTACATTAGCGTCTTGTAGTAATGATTGTTGTTGAATTTGTGTTTCGGCAACAATTTTTGCTATAGCAGCTCGTACTTCTTCACTAATTTGTTCGGTTCGTTTACGTGAATAGTCTAAAACAGAGCTGATAATATTAAAAAATCCATTAAAAGATAAATCTAGACTTACCATCAATTTGTGTATGTGTTGAACCTAATCTAGCCATCAACTGATTCATCTTCGCTGTGTTTTCCATGCTAACTTTTGATTGTGTTTCAGTGCTAACGACAGATTTAACATGGACATTATCGGCAACAGCTGTATGAGCTGTAGCAGATTGAGAACCTGATGCAGCGTGAGTGTGTTGCGTAACTGAAGCCATTTTTGATTGCGAAGAATTAATAAATAAAAAAACAATTAATGAAAGAAAAGATGAAGATCTAGAAGCAAAACATAGACAAGATTTTAGTAAAAGTCGTATCGTTTACCTGTAGAATTTGTTTCAATAGAAACATATATACTTTGTTTGATAGAAGTTTACTAAAAGTAATATGATCGAAAAAATATGACTCGGTACCCTACCAGATTTTTTTAAAAATGTAAAAGTTCTAGGACTGTACTCATAAGTTTGTATGAACTGCCACGTTAACGTCGAAGTTCTGTTTGACGTCCAAATTTTCCAGACAAAAAATGTTACTTTACCGTACCACCTCTTAATGTACAATACTGCCAAAGTACACAGACATGCTCACAGCTTTTTCTTGTGCAAAATCGAATGATGGTCTATATTCATATTCTACAAATGCTCTTTCCTTTTATATACTATTATCTCTTCTGTGCTGATAACCGTCAGCAACGCTGAATATTTTTTTCTACTTTTCACTCTCCTTTTGTTTTTGTTATCTATTTGAAGAATGCTCGAAACACAATTCTCGTCGCTTTTTATCGTTGTTACATTTTAATTAATTGAAGCGTTGAAAATTTTTTATCTAATCGCTACTGATATACATCTTTATAATATAAACTGTACAAAATATATCTGCGTTCTATTTCATTTTCACATATGTATTTCTATATATAAGTGAAAATCAAATAGAACTTCTTGTTTTCCTCATGACTAACGGGTATCTTTCACTTTTTCTTCTAACAAATGTTCTAACAAATGTTCTAAGTTCTCGAAGAATCATCAAGAAAATTTTTTTAAAAGTAACGAAATGCAAGAACATTCACCCGTCAGGAATAAAAATAATTAAAGAGAAAAAAAACTGTAAAATATAAACTAACATATAGATAAGAGTTGAAAAAATAGTTTCAATCACGTTATTATAAATAGCAAAAGAAAAAAAAGTTGAAGATATATTCTTTATGAGTCATCTGCTGTTGTTTTCAAAACACTTCATCTTAACCTTATATACTGTGAAAATGTACGAACTTGTTAACTAATCTGTAGAACGCCCATGCATAGTTCGTCTATTATAAAATCTGCCCGTAAGATGAACTTTTATTACCGACAAAGCTCAGTTTCGACTCTTTGTTTACACAACCACTACAGTTCTAACAAAAACTTATATATACACTATCAGAAATATTAAACTTACATGTTATTCAAAGAAATGAAAAAAAATTTCTAAATAAGAATGTATAACGGACTTGAAAATGCAAATAACAGTGTATATTTTAGTGATAGTATGTGATGTCTGGTTTTTATATAAAACAATGCTGAACTACAAAACACTGAAGCGCACTGGTGTTTATATTCTCTGTTTTTTATTTGGTTTTTATTTGTTTTATTCGCTCTCTAGTACACTATATTGATAAGATGAATTTTCTTTTCTCTCCCTCTACAACAAACAGAGCATAGTTTTGATACTTACGTCTTATAACACGCGTATACACGTACTTTGATTTCTTCGTTTTAAAGTGAAAAAAATAAGATAATAATATGCACCACGTGAATTGTCGTCATTTCTTCTTGCTATATATGTTTATTTGCAAATATTTACCCGTTTTAACTTTTAGTCATACGTGCTATTTAATGGAAGGGTCCATTAAGTCCATCTATATGATGTTACAGGCTTCTTTTAAATGCAAAGTTCAGCCGTGTTAATTGATAACTGAACTTTGTAAATTTTGATGTGCAAACGAGTAACATTCGATGAAGTGATTCATATCGAATAGATAAATCGAGAACATTGGATACAAAGTCAAAGATTCTGCTTAAGATATTTCGTTTAAAAGTTTACAGTGCGGGTGGTGCTCGGAAAACAGCATACTCTAACATTATTCCAATTATCATTAACCTTTTTCGAAAAAGGAACGTTCAGTTTTTACTATCAGAATAGTTTCTTACAGTCGTGTATTCAAGAACGTCCAACATTAAAAAACATTAAAAAAAGAATCTTTTTTCCAGGCAGTAAAAGATCTGGATCTTCGGAAAGTCTCCTAGAAGTATCTCAGGTTGTACATTTTTTATCTTAAAGTGTAACTCCTGAGGGTTTTTTGTTGCTTGATGTTGAATCGTTTTGTTATATTCAGTGACGCTGTCTAGTGTTAATATTGTAAAAAATTTCGAATGAAAAGATTTTTGAATTCCAAAACAAAAAAACGAAAATATGCGTAAGTTTAGATAAACTACACGCATACACAAGATCGTTTCTGTTAACAAATAAAAGCAAGAAAAGTTTGTTAAAACAAAGAAATACAAAACAACATAAAGAGCAGTAGAGAAAGAGAACAACTTTGATCTCCAATCCCAAAAAGGTAAAAACACAGCGTCTTGACCTAGTTCAAGATGGGTAGGTACCAAACGTCTGTACTACTCTGTTGCTTTAAACCTTTTGCGATTTGTCTTACAAAAATCTACGAACGTTTACTGGTAAAATTAATGAATATAAGAAGTGTTCGGTAAATGTGTCTTTATGTGTCAAAGTTCATGAAGGTTCGATGTCTGTTGATGTTTTCTGTGTAGTTGTTCTAATTTAAGTAAATGCAAGGAGTGAATTCAGTCAAGAAAAATAAGACATCTGCAGGATGAAGATAGTTTTATTCTAAAACAGGAGAATAGGCCTGTAGCAACAAATGTAAATGTCACAACTTTGGTCAAAAAAGGGCCATTTTACATTTAAAACGTTTCTTGTATCAGCTGCGTCAGAACAGAAAAGGATGATACATAAAGGATGCACGCGGTCTGTTTGCTTTTTTTTCTTTCCCTTCTGTGTATATTCTGTGCGCTGGAGAACAATTTTGATATACATTTATAATAGAGCTTTAGCGTATAACGCATCTTCTTTATCTAACATACGACAAGATGCGCACACATTCGGTCTAAAAAGAACTTGCGCAGAAAGGTTCACACTACAAAAGTTAAATGAGCAAAAACTGTAAGTTAAATGATGTTTCGGACATCATTTAACTCTAACTCTCCAACCATAAACTGAGCTCAGTAACCAATAATATGGATCCATTAGACATGGGAGTTAGTGCCGGTTTTATAGGCAAACAAACATCTGAGGTGGTGACTATTTTTACTGACCGACCGACCTTACTGACCAAATTTGATTGGTGTAACCATGGAGTAGACCAATCAAATTTGGTCAGTTAAGTCAGTCGGTCAGTAAAAATAGTCATCACCACATCTGATTTTCGACTCAATTTTTCTGTTTGAGCTTAGAAAGTCAAATGTAGAACGTAAATTCAAACTGGCCGGCTGTTAGAAAGCTGCAACCTAAGCAGCACAATTTTAGGGGAAATATCAAAATCTTATTGGTGTGTTAAAGATTTAGGTGTGAACGCTCTCGAAGTTAACTTCGAGTTAACTCGGAATTAACTCTGAAAAATTTGTAGTGAAATTTGTGTGAACGTGGCCAAAGAAACGAGACAAATTTTTTATCAAACAAATGGAAAGAGAAGTAAAGACAATTGCTTGTTCTCTTGCCTTTCTGAATGTGTCGTCCTTGTGTCCCACATACAGATTTTTATATGCGACATTAAAAAGAAGAAGATAAAGCGCTGTACGCTAAAATTCTAATAGAGCTCTACCGTTTAACGTATCTTTATCTTTTTCTTGATGTCGCATGCAGATATCTGTATGTCAGATATAAGAGAGCTCTACCGTTTAACGTATCTTTTTCTTGATGTCACATGCAGATATCTGTATGTCAGACATATTCTGTTCTGGCGCAGCTGATACAAGAAAAATTTTAAATATAAAATGTCTCTTTTTTGACCAAAGATCTAACACTTTCTACAACATCTAGTTTTTAAAGTATAAACAATAGTCTGTCTTGTTCATTTTAAACTACAAAACTATACCACAATTTCACAACTTCAAATCAATGGGTGGTAATAAACGAAAATTGCCTTCAAATGCGATCTGCAATAATACAGAACATGATAAATGTCATGGGGTCGCGTCGTATAAATTATTTAACCTTAACACGCCCGGAAATTTTCATGACCTAGAACGCCCAAAGCGGTCATTTTGACCGTTACCGTTTTTTTTTAAAATTTTATACTTAAAAATGGTTCTGAATTCAAAAATGAATTAAACATTCTGCAAAAAATAATTTTTGTGGCACAAATTAAAAGTTATGACATAATTTACTTTTAATAAATTGTATGCAGTTTGTTTTATTAAGGATAAAAATCACAAAACGGTTAAAATGACCGCTACGGGTGTTCTAGTGTTAAATCACAGACATATTTCTCAAAAAGTAATAAATGCTTTAAAAGAACAAGATTTATTAAAATTACAAGCGAATTTTTTATGTAATCTTTGTGTTAGCATAGTCGGTGAATAGTTATCAGAAGATAATGAACGACCTAACAAACGCCAGCGTTTAATACCGCATACGAACAGTATACAGCAACATATTCATATTCAGACAGATTCTAGTGATTCCATGAGTTTTTATGACAATGTGGTATCTAAGGCACTCCGTGATGACAAGCTCAGCGAGGAAGACAAATTAGTTTTGTTTGATGCTGTTGGAATTAACGTTAAAAATCAATGTAAGAATGACAACACGTTACGCGATTGTATTTACCATATCTCCCAAAACACTAGAATCTCTCAGCACAACGATGTTAACAAAGTTTATTCCTTCTTCCATACTTAAATTATTGAATCAAGTATTTATTTTACAGAATTATCAACAAGGATCTTCTGACAGTCGGCCAACGTATCAAATATGTAAAATATATGAAATGTTATTTTCTGCTTCTAATGGAAATTGTATAAGGCCATTAAGCTTTTCTGAATCATTAATGATTTATCTATTCGCTGGTAGTAGCTTATCTGTTAAAATACTCGATGCGTCGAGCCCAAGTAGTAGCTATGAAACCATTCATAGATGGTATCAGAAACAAGGTAATAATAATTTAGTACTTCCAAAAGGTGATATAGAAACAACCTTCGACAATAACCAAATTATTGGGAAATCCTGTTCTGTATTTAATCCAAATAAACTTTCAGGTGTTTCAACAACTGTTATTCATGCGGTTATTAGTGAAGAATTACGTATACAAAAACAAAGTTTAGGACTAGGTTTATGTTGTAACGAAAAAAAAATTCAAATTGCTTGTAGACAAACCACGAAAAAGCTCAATAAATCAATAGAAAGTAATGATCTTCTACTACATTTTCTTGACGAACGAAAATATTTTCAATCAAGCTTTGAATCATTCATAACAATATTGAAACAAAAAAGCCTATAGATAGTAATGGGCATGATTTAATTGATGAAATAGTTAAACAAGATGAAATAAAAGATCAAAAAATTTGTTCGTCATGTAAGTAGTTCATTGATTACTCATCATGCTTATAGACGGTAGCTGATATGTCGTTATTATTTGGCTATTCGTCCTAGTGGAAGTAGAACCAGTAATACCGGTTTCACAAAAAAATTTGAATGTTTTAAGTGAAGCTGTTTACAGTAGCCATAAACAAAAGTGTACGAATTGTAAAATTCAGTTATTAAAAGCAACATCTACTGACCGAGTATCTTCATCAACCTTTTATAAAGGTTTAAATGTCAGTAAAAAACTATCGAAGACATTTGATCAAATACCGTCATATTGTCCTAAAGAAAAATTGAATATCATAGTTGGAGAACCAGAATTCGTTAATCTGTCTTCCTTAAATGCTGTTAAAGATATTTTATTTAATTTACGAAATTCTCATCTTCATTCGGACAGTAATCCCGATAATGAGAGAAAATGGATGTCAGTCGGCTAGCTTTTTTTTATTCCATTCCTTTCCTTCAAACTACGAAGGTAGGTAATAAAAGTAAATCTCTCTGTTGCATTTGTGCATAATTGGTGAATCCTGGATTACTTGAACTATATCATTCTACCTTTACACGATATCGGTTAACACGGCAGAGGCAATGTCTCATGGACCAAATCTGACCGTTTCTCGCTATACAGACCTGTATGATGAGCCTGTTACTCGCCTACTTGCGCCCATCACTGATTATCAAGATATGCCTCTAATTTCACTTGAAGAATCAATCGAATCAGTCTCTCATTCATTTGATCGGATTGAAGGTAATGTGTGGGTAGCCAAAGAAAATTGTAAAACTCCGACTGACGGTCTCAACCAAGATGAGTCCGCATCGATTCACTTATACACGATGCAGTTTGGATTAGATCTTTCTCTTTACCACGCCCTAAATAAGAACCTACGCTGAAAAAAACTCTCTACTCTGAAAAAAACAAGCACCTATCCGCTGTAAGTAAGCGTCATCTTATGCAGTTTTTGATGCTCTTTCAAATGGAATAAGTTTCTTTATACGTCACCGCTTTCATTTCTGCGCTAATGCTTTGCGAGAGAAAAATGTGGAAATCTCGCCAAAGGGGGCAAGGTACACTGTAAGGTTGGAAATTATTTATGGAAAATGCTCGGCGAATTTCAAAGAGTACCTATGGGAATTCCGTGGGGATTTTCCAGTTTATAGAAAATCGAATTTCCAACAATCTAGAAAATCGCCGTTGAATTTCCATAAATAATTTTCAAGAATCTGGAAATTCCTCATTGAATTTCCAGTTTG